AAATTTAATTAAAGTTTAAATTTAATTAGGTGATATATTACGTAAGTACCTACTCTAATATAGTAGTAGTAGGTATATACTATACTATATATATATATATATATATATATACCGAGGTTACGAAGCACATCCAAAATTTAACGTCAAAAAGTCCGAGCAAGGTACCCTTTTGTACAAGTATGTACCGAGGTTACGAGGCACACCCAAAATTTAACGTCAAAAAGTCCGAGCAAGGTACCCTTTGTACATGTGAGCAAGTAAACAATATACTTGGGCGAGTACGCTACAAGTGCTCGTCGTAGGTGTTCAAACCTACCTTTACTTTATGCAGAGTTCCTGAAAATCCACAAAACGATTTATTTGGTTAGAGAAACGCGCACCAATCACTGGCATCATCTTCGTTTTTTATGTTTCAACACTTCAGGGATGTCGTGATAATTCTGGAAAAGAAAATGACTTTCTGGTAATTTCTCCTATAGTCATGTGGTCCATAGGGGTCCACCAAAGAACTAATCTCCTCTTTTTCTCTCAAGTCCACTTGTACAACAAGTGTCTATGGAACTTTCGGCCACGTTCGAGAAACTTCCAAGGCTTTGACACAAGACCCAAATGAAAACCCTGAACAAAACAAAAATTGTAATAAACAAAGACACCAACTAAAATATCTTCCACAGGATATTAACACTTTTCAGAGCTGACAGGATACTAATACTTTCTTTATTTATAACAGGAACCCCTGATCCAATATTAAAGAGCAGTTAATTACATCAAAGGCTACTTTTGCCTTTTATTATCTCACTAATTCATCACTTAATACTTGCTCATGACTATAGGGCTGACAACAGTCACGCCGGCTCGGCTCGGACCGGCCCTTAAAAAATTAAGCTTGGGCTAGGCCCAATGGCGGCTGAGTTCGACTCTGTCACCTCAGTACAACCCTAAAAGGGCCTGAATCGGCACCATGGGGATAGGGACCAAGCGAGGGATAATTGGGCCCAGCCCGGCCCCGACCATTTCCACCCTTCTTTGGGCTTGTGATTAATGATAGAGTGGGGGCCAAAAGTGGTTTTCATTATGTTTTATTTAATGAAAATATCGTTCTCTTTTTTTGCTCTTATTTAATAATTTGTCCTGGACCCGCGAATCGCAAAAAAATTAAAAAAGAAAAAATTTAGAGAGAGAAACAAAAGAAAAATCGATCATTTTGCATCCATCACACACTCTCTCTCTCTAGAACTTTCTTTTCCTCCATATAAAATGGTGGGAACACCTGGCACCATTTCTCGATCTACTCTCTCTTTTTCTTTGCCACTATTTATACCAAGTTCTTTGAGCGAAGTCCTCATTTTGAATGTGAAACCGGCCCAAAACTGGATACTGAACTCGTGAAAAATATTGCAACTTTTTTGTTGCTTCCTCTCCTGAATTCTCACTTTAAGATCACTATCTTTTTTGGGTAAATTTCCTCTCTTTCTTTCTCTCTCTCTCTCTTCAAGTCCTGGAATCAATGGAAGGTGTTAGAGTGAAGGAAGAGAATGGTGGGTTCGAAGCCATGGCTTCTGATCACGAGACAATTCGTCCTCGGCCTCAGCCAATGGAAGGGTTACATGACAGTGGGCCTCCTCCTTTTCTCACAAAGACATATGACATGGTGGAAGACCCTGCAACTGATGCCGTTGTTTCATGGGGGAAAGGGAGAAACACCTTCATAGTGTGGGACTCGCACCAGTTCTCCACCCATCTTCTCCCCAAATACTTCAAGCACAGTAACTTCTCTAGCTTCGTTCGCCAGCTCAACACATATGTAAGTCCTCTCTCTCTCTCTACACAGCATCTCCAACTATTTCTCTTCATAAAACCTTTACTTCTCAGACTATTTCCCATGGATTTTTCCCTCTTTCTATCTCTAGAGTTCCTTCCATCCGGGGTGCTCTTCTCTCTCTCTAGAATTCTTAGTTGAAAGCTTGAGTTGTTGATAATGGGTTTTGTCTAATGGTTGGTAACGGAATTTTTGTAGTTGTGATTCTGGCTTTTTTATGTCATCGTTTCTATAAGGAGTTGTGAGGGTTTATTACTGTTAGTATTGATTTGAGGGATCTTTTGGTGTTTTCGATTTCATTCGGTTTTAAGCTAACCATGGCAATAATGAATTATATATGAATCTCATTGATTTACTGTATTTCTTTTATTTAATCTTCTATTATGATTTAGGCATAATTCTTTTTTTTTCTTCTATGAATTAAATATGAATTTAATTGATTTATTGTATTTCTTTTATTTAATCTTCTACTATGAATTAGGCAGAATTCTTCTTTACTTTTTTCTTTTTTTCCTTATTTTGAGATTTGAAATGTAAGTGTCGGAGCAAGAAGTCAATTATCTATGTGTCTGCGAATTGTAACAATTGGGATTTGTTTTAGGGTTTGGGCACATTTCAATCATTACGGATAATGATTTTCTACAGATTTTTGGTCTGATACTTCAAAATTGATCTCTCTTCTCTTTCTATAATTTAGTATAAAAAAGTATATGCGAATTGTAACAATTGGGATTTGATTTAGGTTATGGGCACATTTCAATTGCTAGTGATAATGATTTTTTGCAGATTTTGGGTCTGATAATGCAAGATTTATCTCTCTTCTTTTTCTATAACTTTGTATCTAAAATTCTTTTGATGTCAATGAATTGCAGGGCTTCAAAAAGGTGGATCCAGATCGCTGGGAATTCGCGAATGAAGGGTTTCTGGGTGGACAGAGGCATTTGCTAAAGAATATAAAGAGGAGGAGACCAGTCTCTCAGAGCCTCCATCACCACCCATCCGATGCCTACGTTGAGCTTGGACAATTCGGATTGGATGGCGAGCTTGAAATGCTAGAGAGGGATCGGCACACATTAATGACAGAGATTGTTAAGCTAAGGCAACTGCAACAGACCTCAAGAGCAAAACTGGTGGCCATGGAAGATAGATTGCAGAGTAACGAGCAAAAGCAGCAACAAATGATGGCTTTCTTAGCCCGAGCCTTGAAGAACCCGACTTTTATTCAGCAATTGGTTCAGAAGAGAGAGAAAATGAAAGAATTGGGGGGTTTAGGAAGCAAGAAGAGGAGGCTTCCAAGCAATGAAAGAGTGGAAAATATTCAGGAAGAAGGACCATCATCTCATTTTGTGAACTACCCATCTCAAACCCATGAAACAGCAGAGACTGATATCGATGTTCTCTTCTCTAGTTTGAACAGTGATTCAATCTTTCTCTCTTTCGATCAGAAGACCCAAGTACCTGGTTCTTATGGCACAGGAGGTTTAGGATTTGGCAATGAGCAGGGTTCTCAGGTTATTTGGGAAGATCTGATCAATGGTGGATTTGTATCAGATGATGAAGAAAGAGAAGATCGAACGGAGATAGAGGTTGAAGTGGAGGATTTGCAGGCGAAATCTTCAACTTGGGATGATGATGTTCAGGTCTTAGTTGAGCAAATGGGTTTTGTAGGCCCAAAGCCATGAGCTCAATGTTGCTCTGTTTTCTTTGTCGTTGAAGCTTTTTATACAGTGCCTCTGCTTCCTCCATTGCTGTCCTACAGTGGTATGTATACCGATAAAGCATCTCAGTTTCTTAGTCGATTGAGCGAGTGTGTATTTGAATCAAACGCAGTTCATTTTTACAGGTCGCAGGGAGGATGGTAGGAAGCTGGGGAGGGCAGAGGATGTCTGTTGCTGTATCCTTGACATGTTTTACTTTGTTTTTTGTTTTTACAGTTTCCCTTCCTTATATGCCGCCCCCCTCTCTCTCTCTCTCTCCTCTACTTCTCTCTCTCTCTTCTCCTCCCCCATCTGTCTTTCTCTCCCCCATTCTCTCTCTCTTCCCTTTTATCTCTCTCTAACTGTCACTCTTTCTCTCTCCCCCTTTGTTCAGTTGGAGGTTTTATGGTTGTCTGATGGGAAAACATGGGTTGTGTTTTATAGGTGTGGTGATGGATTCAATTCTGATTCAATTCATTGTTAAAGGTTGATGGAGCAGCCACTGGAATGGAGGACTGATGGCTGCTGTAATTTTCTCTCTCTAGGACTGCTGTTATTTTCTCTTTCTACATGGCCCATCGAAGCTGCGCGAGTTAAACAGAGGATAGAAATCCTTTTTCTTCATTAACAGGGGATTAACATCTTGGAATATCTTACTCTGTGAATATTATCTGGCGTTTTGTAGAGGAAAGAAATGGGTGGTGTTGGTTTTCAGTGGGCCCTTGTACAGAATATTTATTCTTACTTAATATTCATTTGTTTTTTATTGGGAAAAGAAATATGGGGTGCGGGTTCCATTGGACCCTGTTTAATAATTGAAAATCTAGTAATGGAGAAAACAGGAGAACGACATGTTTTCATCCCTGTTTATATCTCTGATGATGAGGTGATAAAGAAAAGGATGGCTGTTTTTTGGGGTTAAGTCTATTTACAAGTTTTTTTACCATGATCGAAGTAGGGAGACACAATCAGGTTGACACATGTTTGGAAGATGCCCATGCTGCAAATGAATCAAGCTTTTTTTTTTTTGGGTAGCCTTGCAATGCAGGTCACTAACAGATGATATTTTGAGGAAGAGAGGTAAAATTATGGTCAACAGTCCTTTGCCGTGTAAAGAGGATGAAGAGAATGGAGGTCATGTTTTTCTATATGGAGCTGCCGGGGTTGCCTAAGATGGTCGGATGGTTTGGAAGATTTTAAAATCTAAGGAGAGAAATAAAAAGATCTTTGAAGGAGTGTTCCTCAATTTGGTGGATGCAAAAGATGGTTATAAATAATTTGTGGAGCTGGTTTTTCCTTACTAAGGAGGGGATCGGTATTTTTAAAGGTTGGATATTATTCTCAGATTGAAAACCATTATCGACTGATCTTTGGTGCACGTAAAGTTGAGGAGGAGGTGGTGTCCGCCTTTGAATGGTTGCATTAAGCTGAATTTTGGTAGTTCTCTATAAAATTTGGATTGACTGACGAGGATTTGTGGAGCGGCTAGGGTACATTTTGTTCACTTATGCTGGTTCTTGTCGTTTTGACTATTGCAAATGAGGCTGTGTTGTTTCACCTCATGGAGCATTAAATGTGATCAACAGATATCATTGTTGTGATTTTTGCCAGTCTTTCCTTAAATCAATTATCCGATCTCGAAATTCGAGAAGAATCAAGTGAACTGAAAATAATCACTTGTAAGCTAGATTTCCTTCCAATGTAGTTCAATCTCAAGAGCAAAAGGCATTGCCCTTTTATAAGAGCAAAGGGAACATGCCCCTTCATTGCTCATGCAACGCAGATGAAGGGTGCAACAACAAGCAAATTGTGCATCAAATCTAATGGCTAATAATAGCTTACCTATTATATTTTTTGGAAAAGTTTGTGTAAGGTTGCAACCTTAAATGTAAAATTTTACAGATGCACTAAAAAAATCTATCGGAAAAGGTTGTTTTAATAATAAAAAACCCTCTAATCGGTCGTCTCGACAATGATGTATATGAATATAAAAAAAAAAAGATTTTGAGTCTCAAAAATAGTATATCTGGTAACACATTATTTAGATTTTTTATTTTCAATATTTTCATATGTTTATATATTTTAAGCATTTTTAGAGTTTAAAATTTTATAATTAGACATAAAAATAGATTTTGAGATTATCCTAATAATTTTGTACATCAAAAGTACATGTTATGATAAAATTTGGAGGTGCGTTTTAATTGGATTGTTTAAGGTTGCAACCTTATAGAAACCAAGCGTTTATATTTTATATAAATCTTTGAACTAATCAAGTAAATAAATAATCCAACCTCATTTTACCAAAGTTAACTAAAAAATAATAATAATAATAGGGATTGTTTACAAAAGAGACCATTTATCTTTTGCATATAGAAGTCACAATCATTACCACTCATTAGATGTCAAATTGAATGGCTCGTGGTAAGTCATGAACTTCGAGAGTTTTTTTCGGAATATTGTGTCTATTCAATGACACTCTTACAACCATCCATTTTGAAATTTAAGAGACAAGAATGATTGTGACCTTCATGAACAAAAGATAAATAATCGTTTTGTAGACAATCCCAAAATAATATCACACATTGGTCCTATCTTACCAAAGCTAACTCTATGATAGTTGTTCATCAATTCTCAGGTTAGATCTTATTTTCAAGTACCTCTTACCCTCCACCTTAGGACTAGTAAAGGTTTTAGAAGTCCTATGTACGATCTTCGGTGGTTTAAGTTTGATCTTAGGTAGTTTAAGTTTTTCAAGTACCTCTTACCTTTCTTATGTCTATTATTCATTCATATGAATATACAAACTTGTCTTTTATAGACAAATTACAAACGACAACAATAAAAACTAAATCATGCCTTCCCATAAATATTAGTTGCAATATATACTTTCTATATTAACCCAACATACAATAAACACTTTCCTTTTACATTGATTAGGTACCTAACACCCTAGCTCGGTCTTTCTAGGAAACTTAAGTTGAATTTGGTCCATAGCTCGTTGGTCAATTTAGGACTAGCTGGGAGGAGAGGGAATTTGAAAAATTTTGTTGGTGACTACTTAATTGTCATTTTCTTGCCCCTTATAGCCCGGCTCAGCTATACTCTCAAGATTTTATTGTTGAAGGCCAAAGGAGAGCAACTCATTCCATGAGATTAAATCCCTTTGGATAGGATTGCAGATACCACTTTTGATAGGATTGCAGATCTAGTTTCCAACAGTAATGCTTTTTTTTTTCTTTTTTTTCTTTTTTTTTTGTCATTGTTTTAGAGAGTAATTATGTGCAGATTCTCCAGCGAAACTGGGTGTCCCTCTCTCTTCTCCTTCTGTGTCAAGGCCTGAAATGTAATATTTGAGAAGTAACTAATGAAATAATCTCAATCACCTTTAAAAAATGTATATTACACATTGGTCCTTATGAGACCAAAGTGTTCGATCTTTTGCCATTTTAGCCACTTCTGCAAGCCTGGGCTCTTCAATTTCAAAGAGTCAATGTTGAATCTAGACATTGTGACCATCCATTCTTGATACAGATGCATTTTGGGTTTGGTTTTTCGCACCATAGTTATACTATCCCAAGAATGAATGGTGATGAGCACCCTTATGTTTGGAAGAATTGTTTAATCCTGTTAATCAGTTATTTGGCATTCTAATCTAAATTAATCTCACAAATCACCCTTGATTTGTAGGCAGTAATTGTTGTTGTGGCCATTAAACCTTATTATAAGCATCAGAAATAAAACATTAGCACTCTATTAGAATATTATGGCCAAAATGAGGCCTGATTCTACTATCATTGTCCTTCAGGTCGTATTTGCTTTTCACTCATGGGTGTGACCCCTGGTTTGCATCAAGCCAGTCTCCATGCTTAAATAACTTAACTGAAGGACGAGAAAGAACATACAAGTTAACACTTAAAAACATTTGTAAGTTATAAATATTTATTATTTATACCTTGTAATCAGGCAAAAAGAGAAAAAAAAAAAAATCTTCCTTTTCTATGAAGACATAATCGACACTAAAGTGACATAGTCAACACCATAGTTAGCAAGCCGGGGGTACAATATATAGGCAAATCAAAATAACGATAATGAATTTTCTAAAAAATTGGACCGGATAAAAAATATGGTGGCAAAAAATTAGGTGAGTTAAAGAATTATGAATATTTCCATTTTAGCTATAAGAAAAACAGAGTGAAAAAATAGGATATGTGGATATGACATAAGATTATAATTTGCAGTTATTATATGGATGCATTAAAGCTATTAAATAATAATATTATGTCCTTATATATAGTATCATTAGAATAATACTTAAAAAGTTTGTATAAACTTTCAAAAAAATGCAACAATAGTACATACTAAGCAATAATAAATACAAGAACCATATTAGCAAATGCCAAGAACTGTAAGCCAAAGTATGGGGTTATTGTTAGAAAGAAAATCATAGAAAAAAAAATCAGAATAGGATTGCAATTAACTAAAAAATGAGAGTAAAAAATTGTAAATAGTGTTCAACTCAAATGATGTGTTGTATACAATAGAGTAGGCGAGGCGTACTCACCTAGTATATTATTTGTTTTATATTCATATTTGAAAAAGTACATACTCCACTCTCTTAACAATGAAATAACAAAACATTTGAAAAGGTAAAATTAATCAAACTTCTCATGAACGCAGGAAGAAAATAGCAAAATGTTAAAGTAAATCTAAATATTTGAATCTCACACTGAATTTGTAGTTTCCTAACGATTACTATATCTCTTTCTCACTCCTTATAATAATACTTTGGGTTTAGAGAAAAAAAAAGATTTTTCATTGAATATTCTCTCTCTTACTCTACCTCCTATTTAGAGAAAAAAAAGATTTTTCATTGAATATTCTCTCTCTTACTCTACCTCCTATTTTATGAAATTGATAATTTTTTTTTTTTGGAAAATTGTAATATTTTTAGGGATCGTATGCAATGAGACCATCTACCTTTGGTATAAAGAAGGTCACAATTACTTATAACCATCCAATGTGAAATCTGATAACTTGAATATGTCATAAAGTTCAAGAAAATTTATTTTGAACTTTGAGCCTAATCAATGAAATAAATACAACTACCCAATTTCATGTTCAATAATCAAGATTAATTGTGACCACCTCATATCAAAAGTAAATGGTCTCGTTGTATTTTTTTTTTTATTTTTAATTCACTTCTTTTAAGGGAACATGTTGATAATTATGGAATTTTTTGTTAAAGAGAGATTCTTAATTGAGTCCTGCTTTATCTCTAAACCAATTAAATCTATTAAATCAATGAAGAGAAGAAGTTTAAATAAAGTTAAAAGGGAAGAAGTTTTTTTTTTTGAAAAGTTATTTTTGAGAACAAATAAAATATAGATTTATATCGAATGTTGATTTTTTTTAAGATCTCTTGAAAGGCTTGTTTACTTAATTTATCAAAAAAATCAAAGACTTTTTTGAAAAATTCTTGTTTCAATTGGATACTTGGTAACTGTGGTTGACACTACTGAGCCTAGGGCATCTCCCTCTCCCTCTCACTCAATTTGGAGAAAGTTGACATAGTATATATATATATATATATATGAAAATCCCTGTGCTAAGAAGCAATAGGTACTAACAAAATAAAAATTGACATTAAAAAATAATCCAAGTTCAACAAAAAAAAAAAAAAAAATTTGTCCAATAAGAAGAAAATTAAATTTACATTACAATGATATGAAAAAAATGAAAAAGAAGATATTTACCCTTGCAACTTGAAAGTCAATACAATGATATAAATCTAAAAAGGGAGAAAAATAACAACTCATTTACAACTCCAAAATATAATGAAATTGACAAATCCTCAGTTTTACAAATGGAAAAAGTTTAAATGAGATTGCAACAACTTTGTGTATAAGTAATGTTGAAGTAATCTAAAATAAACATTGTAAACCATCACAATCTTACTTCTACTACTTCTACAAGTAAGATTGCAATCTTATACAAAATAAGATTGCAATCTTATACAAACCACACTTTTACAAGTAAGTGAGCCAAATTGTCGATAAATTGGGTTCAAATTAAATGCTCTACAAAACAACGTATATCTAGAACACGGGCTAAACTTTTCCCTCACATGAAATCCAAGATTTGAACAATTCGAGGAATTGCATCCCCTTGCAGCAAAACGTGTTCCCTAGGGTTTATATTAGAGCCACGAATGGGCTTATTGTTTGAAGATGAGACACGTCTTTGCCCAAAGAACAAAGAGACCATTTATCTTTTGGAAGAGTTTTAAATAGAAAATTCCAAAAAAAATTAAAAATTTCTCGAACTTTATGACTCATCTCAAGCCATCCAATTTGATTTGATTAGTGAAAATGAATGTGACTCCACCGTACAAAAGATAAATTATCTCTTTGTAAGCAATTTCATAAATATGCTCCCAGCTTGTACAACTGAGAATAGCAATCTTGTTTTGACAACCCCTTACAAAGAAATTTCTAAAGAGCTTTTCAAAACTCTAGATTCTCAGGGAAGATCTTCAAGAAAAATATCAGAAAACTATAAAAATAAAACATAGCAAATGAGGAATATTTAAAACAAGCAAAAAAAAAACAAAAAAACTATTTTTTCTTTTATCATCCAAATTTAAGTTTTCCTATGAGGTTATATTTTTCAATAGAACATATATTTTTAAGGCAAACCAACATTTAAAAATAAGTACATAATTTTGTTTTTTCTTTTTACCTTTTAGAACAAAAATTCGGTATGAAAATTTCATAATGTAAGGAAAATTTATTCATTTATTTTTAAAGTTCATAGCCTCTCTTTAATGGATTAAGAAAATGTAGCTATTTGTCCCCCAACTAAAAAGCATGGCCTAATATACTATGTGCATGCACCTGGCTTAGATTGGAATACCAATCCTGAATAACATTATATATATCACAAAGGCAGAAAGTCTCAACATATGTACATAAACTCTCATGCTGGCTGATCCTACTAACAAAATACAAGTAAACAAAAAAAAATTAAAAAAATAAAAACCTACATCGGTTGAGGTTAACATACACAGTTGCAAGTTGTACATTAAAGCACACCTTCGAGCTACACAAAATAGTACTCCGTGCATCGCTTTCCCATGATAACCTTGACAAAATTCTCGAAACCCAATCTTGTACCGAAGCTCAACTTCTCTTCCCCCCCCTCCCCCCCAAAACCATCTCTCTCTCTCTCTCTCTCTCTCTCTCTCATGCGCACACACGGAGATGCCCAAACGTGCACACACACACACTAGTGTACAACAATCTTTGTTACAGCACCTCCACTAATAAGGGGAGGGGTATCAAACGACCAGAGAAAGTCAATCATAGCTTGGCAATGTTGAAGACCATGCCTCCATCAATGGACAAAGATGAAGAGCATGAAGACATGGCAGATTTATTTTCCTCCTTGTCCTTGTTGAAGGCCATTCGGAGCATCTCTTGGACCTCTACGTATCGCTTCCTCTTCTTAGTCTGCTCCTCGCTTGTACCTTTCCCAAGGAAAGCAAGCTCCCAAACATCCGCATCATTCATAATCTTGTTCAGCTCAGCTGAACAACGAGGAAAGAAGCGCTTACCCAGCTCAACTGGTCAAACAATGTCATCACCATCACTTCTTAGATTTATAACCGAACCTTATGAATACTACAATCTATGGGATCTCCTCTTGGCTTTGTCAAGGCATAAAAGGCAAACAAATGTCCAAGATCCAAATCACATATTATCCAAAAATCACAAAAAAGGACATTTATAATTACTACATATTATACTTTCACAATGGGCAATGTAATAATTGCAGCACTTATCACCTCCTTTTTGGAAAAACAATTGCCAGAGGTTACTTTGTGTGTTTTCTAGTTAGGATAATTGAAATTGCCACATACTTAAATATATAATATATAAAAAAAAGGCCCATAGTGCCGCATATTGATGTTTCCACTAAACACTTAACTGAGAGTGTAAAGTGTCGTCCTTGGCTAACACCAAAATAGATCAACTAGAGAGCCATGTTGAAGAGCCAAATTTCTAATGGAATTCTATGTGCTTTGGGATGTAGCATTGAAGGGTTATGGTACTTGCAGACCGACCCTTCCAAGTATATTCAAAACCACATTAGCAAAAAATGAAGTAAAAAACGGAAGAATTTGGGAATTTAGCATGGTTTTGAATGGTCATATCTCTCATAATACCTTCACCAGCCTGCCTCATTTCTAGCCACATATAACTTCATCAGTACAGTTGCCAGGGCAGCAACGAGGTTTTTTTTTTTTTGTTGGGGGGAGGGAGGATGAAGCATTCAGGAGACAAGTTTATCTCCTCTTTCAAGTCCCACAATACATTTAATGTTACCTCCTATTTATAGTCCTCTATGTTAAATATATTTTAATTATTGGTTGTCATGTGGAGAAAAGCGATGTGAAACAAAGAAAGGATATGCATGTTTTTTTTACTTCTTTCATATAATAATAATTTCTCACAACTTCGACAACAAAAGAATTTATCACAGCAGGATTCTCTTGAATCTCAATCAACAGCAAAAAACACATCAAGACTATTTTTATATCGGGTAGGAATGATCAGGTAGAATCATTGAAATTGCAGAACTTTACTGTTCTGACTGTGACACTAGAAAATTGGAGAAGGGCTGCTTTTTAAATGATTACACAGTTTTCCTGCAGTGACAGAGAAGAGCCGGATCTCAGACTCCCAAAACTTCAAACCCTCCCAAATCATGCCCCCTCCCCCCTCTTCGTCTGCTTCTTCCTTTTTCCCCTATGTGTGTGAGAGAGAGAGATAGGGAAGCCAGATGGCAGGGTTGAGCTGAGGTTGGGAGGACTGTTTTTCAGTGTTTTAAAATGCGGGTTGCAGCCAAAAGCATTGGGGGGGGCTGACGCGGCGATGCGGTCAATAACAATAAAAAAATCTAATAAAATAGGTTAATGCAAAAAAAAATAAATGGAGGTGATATATGCGATAGTAGGTATTTAGATTATTCATTAACTTCAAAAGTATTAGCTGTCGGAGATTTAACATCCACCATCCCCTAATAGAAACTAAAAACAAGAAACTTGAAACTAACGTTATAAAACATTCAACAATCAATAACCATAAGCACAAATCTGCAACCAAAAACTTTAAAGTTACAAATTTTATAAACTTTTTAATCTTGTAAAGAGCCCATGAAGTTCTTCGACTCGATTTGTATACTTTTTATAAAGTTTATAAATTTATAAAAATGTTGTAACTTTCCGATATCAGAGCATTTATGAAGATCAATACATTTATAAACTCATTAATTTGTAACTTTATTGTATTAGTCCATGAAACTCTTTAAAGTTACAAATTTTATTTGAAAAGTACTAGGAAAAGTTCTTCAATTTGTAACTTTTCTCTTTTAGCAATACAACTGTTAACTTCTCCAAAAAAAAAAAATCTTCATGGACTTTTAGTTTGTAGTATCTTGTATTACAAATCGAAGAACTTCAACAAATAAAATTTCTGCCTAAATTTTTTTTCTTATTCAATCAATCCAATAAAAGCCACGGATGTGGCTGAAAAATGTTGTTTGGATGGTTTAATACCCCTCCAAACCCTTTCCCCCCATTTTCAAAGGTCAAAATGACCTTGTTGCCCCTAACCGAGGGGTACAATTTTCAAAAAAATGGCGGACAGATTATGCGACCTGATGCGGGATGCGGCTCTGATGCGGAGGGATGTGGCTCTGATGAGGGTTCATCTCTCCAAACCGCATATGCGGGAAAGTGCGATGCGCTGAGTGGCGCATAGCGTTTAATGCAGCCGCATTTTAAAACACTGCTGTTTTTTCACTTTTAACCAAGAAGTTTCATCTTGGCATCCGAGCAAGCCAATAGAACACCAGGTCCCATCTCAAATACCCCCCATCAGTAGAGATGGGCAAGGTACGGTTGCTATCTATCGTAGAATCATTTCCAACCTACTCATTCCTTCTTTCAAAACAATGTATCTGACCAGAAAACAATTGTTCGGTTGAAATCTAGAAGCATACCATACTCGAACCCTAGACCAAAAGTAGGAGAGTACATAACACAATGGCCACTAGTGTTACCTGTTCTAGAGAGGGCTTTCATTCTAGATAGGTACTCATCCTTGATCTTGAAAGGAGAGTCATTCAAGTCCACAGCTGTCATCATCTGCTCCCTTGATGTGAACTTGGAGATAGCAGCCAAAGGTAACTCCAATGTACCCTCCACCTGTGCAATCTCCATTGCAACTTGTGCTTCCATTGGGTACAGAAACTTTGCCAGACCAACTGCATCATAAAAAACATCTTAAGAGCATACTTAACACATCACCAAAAATCTTACTGAAAGAAAGAGGAAGAAACTACAGCTGAAAGAGTCCTATCATTGATGATGAATATTGGGTCTTCTATTTTCCATTGAGCTACGTATGGTGCAGGCAATGCAATTAAATAGTCCATCTGTGTATTTTCAATAGAATTCAGAACTACTCCAAGCATACAGTGCGGATAAAGAGTCAACTCAATAGTTTAGAACAATGAACAGTGCAGCTTAGTGAAAAAACAATGAGCAGTGCACATAAAAGCAGCCATGCAACTATATATAAAAATGCATTAATAAAAGATAACAATTATTGGAAACATTTACATTGACATCATCAACAACATCATTCACAGCCGATCACTTGGACACCAAGTCACTTATTTAGCTGCTCTGAGCACTTAGAAACATACATGATTGCAGCCATTGTAAAAATAAAGGCCACATTCAGGTTACACTGAATGGGAAAAAACATAGCTCAATGCATTCAAAGGTATATATGTCATCCAACAAAGATTTTGCCTCTAGGATCTAGAGATCTAACGAGTTACATGAATAATATCCATTCCAGCTCTATGGCAGTTGTCCATCAATAAAACACTTGTGACAATCACATATTTGAGGGAACACCAACAATCTTCCTATATCAGATGCCAAAAACAAATATGATAATTCACTCTACATTCAAACCTCTGGCATGTATTGACATGCCAATTACGTAGGTCCTCCTCATGCCAGCATCATACAGTTCATGGACATGTATCCTAAAATCATCATCATCATCAGAGCCTTTTCCCAACTACTAAAAGTTGGTTATACGAATCCTGATTTGCTATTCTACTCTATTAATGACCATACCCTCAGTGAAGCCCTAAGCCCCCCTATTTTTCTCATTACTTTCAACCAGTGGTTTAAAAATCGTCGAGTCAGCATGGACTCGGGTGATTCGACACTAGAATCGGTCACCCGTGTCGATTCTAGCTTAAAACAAGAAACCACCCGTGTTTAGAAAGGAACTGGGCGAGTGGGGCGATTTTGATGTCACGACACAGTTTATGACGTCACTAAACGGGCGAGTCGGGCGATTTCTTTAAAAATGGGTCATTGTACAAGCGTCACCACATGTGGCAGACTGTTGGCCTTTTTCACGCACGTGGTAAAACGTGCTACCGAGGACTATTTTATTGACGTCAAACTTGTTTAGGTTTTTGTATGTGGGATTTTAGTAAGGTACTTAGACTTGAAAATGTAATGTAATATATATTTTTATTATAAAAGGTAAGACAACTATTGGTGCGTGGTGTAGTCGGTTATCACGTCCCTTTCCCTCTCAAGAAGTTCCTAGTTCAAACCTGGACAGCCACCATCTTTTTAGCTTTTGTCAAAAAATAAATAAAAGTTACCTTGACAAAAAAATAAAAGTTATGACAAAAAAATAAAAATTACCTTGACAAAAAAATAAATTTTTGTCAAAAAAAATAAAAGTTATAGCAAAAAAATAAACGTTACATTGACAAAAAAATAACAGTTATGACAAAAAAAGAAAAGTTACCTTTACAAAAAAATAATTTTTTGTCAAAAAAAATAAAAGTTACCTTGACAAAAAAATAAAATTTACCTTGACAAAAAAATAAAATTTAGAACAAAAAATAAAAAATTACGTTGACAAAAAAATAAATTTTTGTCAAAAAAAAATAAATAAAAGTTATCTTGACAAAAAAATAAAAGTTACCTTGACAAAAAAAAGTTACCTTGACAAAAAAATAAAAGTTATGGCAAAAAAATAAAAGTTACCTTGACAAAAAAATAAAAGTTATGACAAAAAAAATAAAAGTTACCTTAACAAAAAAATAATTTTTTGTCAAAAAAATAAAATAAAAGTTACCTTGACAAAAAAAATAAAAGTTATGGCACAAAAATAAAAGTTACCTTGACAAAAAAATAAAAGTTACCTGGGCAACACCGTCTTCTTATTTTTCTTGTCAAAAAAAAATAAAAGGTAATACAACAAGTATTTATTGTCAATAAATAAATAAAAGTAATACAACAAGTATCATGCTTTTCAAGCACGCATTTGAGCATCGATTATTCTAGAAACCTAAAAATAATTGATTTTTGAAACTTAAAAAATTAGATTTTTGAAAAACTAAAGTGTTATTTCGAAAATTGGTACGCATTCTAATAATTTCTACATTGATAACCAAATCGTTTATTTTATTTATTAATTTATTTGCATTATAAATTATGCAATGTAATATTTTTTCTTACAGTGGTTAATAATATATTTTAAATTAAATAATATTATACGCTATTTTGCATTTGTTATTATTTTTATAATAAAATAATTATAAAATGTAAACCAACAATTTCAATTTCAGTATATAATATTATAGTTAATTAGGTTGTAATAATTTTGGATTATAGCTAGTAGGTTGTAATAATCTGGTTTTTTTTTTTTAGCGGATTAGGGCTTTCTGCCAATTTGAGATTTTGGTGGCCATTTTTTCATCGATTTAATCCATTCTTTGTTGTAATCCATGTATGATTATATACTTCATCCATGATAATTCTATGATTTTTCTTTTGTGCGATGTAAATTTAATGGTTAACATAAGTTCATACAGGAAAAGAACATCTCAATATTCACATATTGATGAAAAAAATGAAAGTTAATAATGTAGTACCCCCGTTTCTTATTGGATTCCTAAAAAACAACATTTATAATGAATTTTAATAATTTTTTTGGATTTTTTTTAAGATTATTCAGACCGATTCGTCCAATTCCCAATCCGGATCGCTAATTCACTGATCCGGATGGGTTTTTGGGGTGCCCGATCAGGGGCACCGATCCGTTTTTTAAACCACTACTTACAACCATGTCCTTTTGGGCCTACCCCTTGCCCTTTTTGAGCCTTCCAATTAAATCAACTTGTACCTCTTAATAAGTGTTATACTGGCTCTGCATAGCACATGGACAACCCTCTAAGTCTACTTTCTCTCATCTTATCACCTATTGGAGTCCCACATAAGTTTTCCCTAATGTATTCATTTTGAATTCTATCCCTTCTTGTCTTGCCACTCATCGATTTCAACATTCTCATCTTAGCTACACTCATCCTATGGATATGTTGTTTCTTGACTGCCAAAAATTCTACCCCATGAAGCAAAACCGGTCTCATAGCTTTCCTATAGAACTTCCACTTCAACTTCACATAAAACTCTGGTTGCACATCTCCACTTCACCCACCGAACCTTAAATCTATATGTGATATCTTCCTCAATCCCTCCATTTACCTAGATTATCAACCCAAGATATCGAAAGTGCGCTTTTTTTAGTATTTCTTGGCTGTCAATCTTAATTGCTTCATTGTCTCTACTCGTATTATTACTAAACTTGCATTCCATATACTCTGTCTTAGTCCAGCTAAGTTTCAAACATTTAGATTCTAGAGCATCCCTCCCAAGTTCTAACTTTGTGTTGACACCACTGCGGATCTCATTAATCAAAATTATGTTGTCTGTGAAGAACATGCACCACGCAAACAACATACAGCATGCAGAGGACTTCTAACTTGAAATATTAGGGCCCAAAGAATGTTTACGTCCAAATCATCCTAGACGGCTACAATTCAACTTGTAACAAAGTTTTGATCATAGTTACTGGGATCTCCTACTTTGATAGGAGATCCCTTCTAGGATCTCAATTCTATCACTCTCGAAATGGATCTCTCAGGGATCTCGATGTTTAATTTTTGGGATTTCGATCCCCACTGTTAGGGATCCCGACTCTTGCTGTTAAGGATCTCAATCCCACCTTAAAGAGCAAGACAATAACCAAATGGATGATTTTCTTTATTTATAGACAACTAGCAACACAACTATACCTTTAATATAGTTGCATTGCTGGCTTATTGTAAATAATGAGATCCCTACTTCAAAGAGTATATATAATCCTAGATTGTTACACACTTTAGGTAGCAAGATCCCCAAAAAGTTGGGATCAAAATCCCAAAAGGTTGAGATCAAGATCCCCAAAAGGTTGGAATCTCGATCCCTAACATTTGGGGATCTCCATCGCCAACATGTGCATTGTATGGATGGCATTCCCTACCATAGGGATCTTCTAGCATTTCATGATCCCTCGCACCCAATCCCATTCCAATCCCAATCCCAATTCCAGTTATTGCCAAACTTAGCTTTCCTCGGAAGATTGATTTTGTAAGTGAACAAAACATGCACAGCAATCCACAAAAGCGCCCACTAAAAACCAACAATAACAATATTAAGTTCACAAGTAACATTAATAAACTGCCTCCGCAAAATTCAATAGAAGCACAAATTTAGCAATTAAACAATAAATTATCACACAAAGAAGCCAAATAAAAGTAAATCCCTATTACACAACCGATAAGTATATATAATTCGCTTGGGTTTGAGGAGCCAGAACCATGCATATTATCTAAAGAAAAGAACTCAAGTTCACCTTAATAGGACGTGAGGAGCCAGAACCATGCCTATTATTTTTTAATGTCCAAGAAGAGGAAAACAGTGAAAAGAAAGTGACTTCTATTTGATAAATAGCAATAGAGATGACATAAAACATGTCAGAGTTCGATTGAAGGCCTGGCGTACCTCTAGTTTCAAGGTATATCAAGCTCCTACGCAGATCGTCACCAGCAATAGCAAGAGAAACAGAAGCTTCCCCAGGTAAAGGATCCCTCCTCTCTGCTTGCTCCAATATCTCAATGCATAACCTTTCCTTAGGAGTAGGTTCTGCTTCTTCTGTAGACCTAGAAAAATCGATGAACTTGGTGAGCCTTTTTGATATATGAAGTGCTTTTCTTCCATCAGATGTTAGATCTGATGGCCGTGCTCCTTTTGTTAGAAGAGACACAATGATTTTAGGTTCTCTGCGCATTGCAGCAATATGAAGGACGGTGTATCCTCTTTGGTTCCTATGATTTACATCAGCCAGTCCAAGATCTAGAAGATCTATCGTGGTCTTTGAATCACAATATGCAACTGCATAATGGAGTGCATAAGCATCATCGAGATTAGAGTGCTCCTCCTTAAGTAACATCCTAACTAATTCAACATCATCAGAATCGAGGGCGCGATGTATTCTTTTCACATGTTTATCCGGAAATCCATCACCTCCTCCTGGCCCTACAAGGCCCAGCGCACTCCGTAAATCTGTGATTTCTTTAACAACAGCAATGGGCAATGCCTTCTCAAAAGAAGTAATATCTAGGTCAGAGTTCACCACAATTTCTTTGCACTTGAGCAGCAACCTCTCACTTGCTTTATCGCAAATGGTTGCAACAGATAGAATTACCAATATATCATCTATTGCCACCTTGTCCAGAATCTCAAGCAGATGTCGCTGAAATAAAAAGCAATGAAGAGGTTAAAGGTGGCTGCAAGTGAGAGTAAACACATTTTGCATAAGAGAGACACTGCAAAGTAAACTTAGTAAACAGGTTATATTACTAAAAACTTATGCTCGTGCATTTGTAAATGCAATATCTCTGTCAATATTAGCGTGGTAATCAACACAAATTCCATGCATGCACTCACACACATTCACATACACATATGATTCAAACCAAAGAACATAAGTGCAATGGTCCAGGCATTTGCTTTTCCCATGGCCTGTGCTACTGACCATTATTATTAGGTTAAGATTTTTCCATTTCTTCCTAGAGAATTCAATTCCATAATAGGAGTGCATCTATCATGTGGGTGACCTTGAAAAAGGAAATCTTATTATTTTAATGTTAACTTGGGATCCGGTAGGATTGGAACTCTAGATCTCATGTTGTAGCACCCATTACCCTGAAAAAGATAGTTTAAACTATAATGTGAACTGCTTAGAAGCTTACTTGTAGGTGTTATCCTTGCCTTATGTAGCAGATAGGTGCCAACACCCCCAAACTGCCCATTTTCTTGCATGAGTATTCATCATTCCAAGGGTAGTATTCTCATATAGTGCTCTGCAGTGGGACCCTAGAGCAACATTTCACATCAACTATCAAAACTTTCCCTCAGTCATCATCGGCTTTGAGTTTTGGTTGAAGCTGCCCTAAGTGGTGCCAACCTAGAAAATAGAAACCTGCCAGCCAATGTTTCATGTTAGGTCTTACTCTAGTCAAAGATCTTACGAGTAGAACGTCAGATTATTGATGACTGATTTTCCTTTGTGTCTGCATCATTTCACTTCTGAACTTTAGGACTATCTTCGTATATGTGCATTCTTGCAATATGTTACTAAGTAAAAGGGATACAGTTGCTATACTCCTAAAGTTGGATGATACAGATTAATTCACCGTGCTAATTTCCTGAGGGCATTATTACCTTACTGAATTTTTTCCTCTCTAACAATAACACTCCTTTTCACCCTCCTCACTTTCTAAACACTGCCAATGAGACAACCCAAAATGTGTGCTTGAATGTTAGAAGTGTGAAGAAGTTAGCATCAAATGTTTTACAATATTGAGCAAGAAGACATCCCAGTGAAACATATAATAGAAGAGAACTCAGTTCAGTACATCGAACTCCAATTGAAGGATTTACTTACTCCAGGGATTTTACCTCATCGACTACCACAATTGAATGTCTGGATAGCTACATCAGGCAACATCCTCTATGCATTCTAGTTCTATTTTGTTCTCTCTAAACTTGTGCTATGGTCCCCACAATTGATTTTTGTTTTGGATCTTCATTTGAATAGCAACCTACACTCTTGGTTTTGTTTACTTTTGTTCATGACCCCTTGCACTTGTAAAGATGGCCATGCAAGTATGACTGTTTGAGAAAAACAATACAAGGAAAGCTAGAAACATTTAAGTGTTATCATTTGTGAAGCGAGTTTCATGTTTGAGATGTAGGACCCACTGTGTGCATGTGGAAGTATAAGGTAAAGACCTTGACAATTAGCTCACTCAGTCAACAGAGGTATGCTTTGTTGCCAAAGGTTATATCTATGATTAAGACATAGATTACCAGAACACATTGCTCAAGTGGGAAAGCTCATAACACTAAAGTGTTTTATTGCCAGTTGCTGCAATTCAAAGATAGGTGCTCCATCACATGGATGTTAAGAATGCATTTCGTAAAGATGATTTACATGAAGATATCTTTTATGCAGCACGCGGCTACTCAACAAACCTTTAATGGATATGCATACTTAAGAAGGCAACCTATGGACTCAAAAAAGCTCCTCGGCTAAATGATTTTTGAGATGACATGCTTAAGGGATAAGATGCCCTGATATGGATATGGATACACCGATACACGGATGGATCAAGGAGAAGGAACATAACTGCATTTCTCAAAATCCAGAATACAAATCAGCTACAAAGTATCCTGATCATAGTTACCGGGAATGGCAGCGACAAGAGCTCCGGGATTCGAAGCAGGAGTGAGGTAGGCTTGAAGTCCATGGTTAATGGGAATCAGGTCCGTACATGGTCGAGTAAAGGGATCAAGATCCCTGACTTTTAGGGAGCACGTTCTATATCTACACATGAGCAAATTCTTTACCAAATAGGATCACTTTCCTCCATGATAAGGATCGAGGTTCCTGAAGGTCACTTATCAACTGTGTTGTAATTTGGGAGCAAATTCCATTGAACAATATGTTTAACTTTTTCCAAATTCACAAACCCAGTATTAATGTAAACAAAATTCATATCATTGAAATTCTCTTTAACATTTTCTTGTCATTGGAGTATGATCTCACATAGTGATAATAGAAATCCAATATAATGATATAATACCTAAGTCCTCAATTTCATGTTAACAATGGAATGGAGGGTGATAAAAATAGTTACTTAAGCAAGAATCAGAATAAAAAATTAATCATGTGAGTCTATTACAAAAATTGCACACCATACCTACGTTGGTCTGCCTACCATGCACACGTCCTCATTTTTGGCACCAATCAGTTGGATTGTGGGACTCCCACTCGAACATCAATTGATGATTAATATAAGAATGTTGGGATAGATGGCTTCCAAAAAACTAATGCCGTGATAGTTAAGCTCTCCTTTGCAAAGCAAGAAAAAGAAAAGACATTGCCATATATAATTTCCAATAGCTCTCTTCTATCAAATAGTGCCTGGGGCTCAAAGATATATACATGAGAGAGACCTCATATTTCCACGCATACATGTTATTCCATCACCCATGGGGCAATCCTATGAGTGGCTTGATTTGGTTGACCAACACTCAAGTAATAGAAGTCCTTCAGGAGGTAGACAAGACCAAATGAACTAGATCCAAGGAAGTTAAGTGTAATGGCATTCCTCAATAGAACCATAACACGACTAACTTTTGTATCTCCTTCCATCTTCTTGTTTCTCTCTCCTTATCCTCTCTTTTGTTGCCTTACTTTGAAACTAGATATACATCACGATTCACAAGGAGTGTAAAGTTGTGAATTGTAAAATATGTAGGAAAGCATGGTATTCAAAATGTTTGTAAGTCATAAAACTTGGATGTCCACACACCAATGTATATGAACCAAAAATGTGTTAGTGAAAATTGGCCCCAAAGTAGAGGATATTTGATTCCAAGTTGTGGTGGAATTGGGTTCTGCTTACTCATGGAACCAAGATTTTTGGCAACTATGATCCTGATACAGTGATAAGTATATGTTGTAGCTTATATAATATATAAGTAAATGCATCCAACCTATTGATGTATATCTAACTATATATACCATCTCTACTATATTGTTCATAGTTATTTTAATTTATATTTACAAGTACCCTAGGAGTATCCAGTACTAGAGTCAGTGTTGACACAGTATGAGACCTCGTTAAGTGCAATGATTGAAACAACAAAATAGGGCCCTGAATTGCCAGGGGCCCGACCTGATTTTCCCAGTCCAACTCGCTTGATTCCTCAGTCAGACTAGGCCACAATTAAAAAAGAGCTTCCACAAAAAAAAAAAGGAGAATAGAGGCACTCTGGGATTCCTCGAATCAGAATCACCCACGTATCAATCCTCGATTGACTCCAGCAAATTTGGGTCGGATCAGCGATTTTTAAGTCACTGGTTAAGTGTACGGAAGTATGTGTATCATAGGATCATAGCTTAAAGGGATTTGAGCAGCGACAACCAACCCCAACGTTTCGTATTTCCCAAGGAAGCAACTCCTTAGTATTATTTTGCCAAATCATGATTAAGATTGGCATATTTGAAGATGTTGACAACAATTTAATCATGAGCACAGTCTCATTATTTCATCGTAACTAAAGATAAGTTTTGGGACCCTTTTATTCATTAGTATGAAATAGCTGTAGAACTTTCATTGTGGTCTATGGGTGGGTTTCAGGAAATGTCTTCCAAACCATTTAAAATGGAATGACCCAACAAAATGCTGCTCCATCCTCCATGAAGATGGCAGGATCCTTTAAGCTCTTTTCATTTCTATCTAACAACAGAGCATTGCACCCACCGCATTCATTTTTCTAATATGGGGCGCTGACAAACTCTACCGTATGCATAATTTTGGTTGATCTCAAAAAGGACAAAAAGAAAAAAAGGACTCATGCGTATTCTAAAGAAACAGTTTAGTTGAAGGATGAATCACGTTTTTTACTTTTTAGAGGTCTTCATATTAATCGTGCCCCTAGGCATATTATATCATGAATCCAAGCCAATTGCTTCTTATGCAGTTTGGGCAGTGAATTAGTTTGTTTAGTTACCCAGCACATCTTACTTAACTATTATTCACTTCATTATCTGATATATTCACAAATACCCAACATATGGCCACACCATGTACACTTACCATATTCTCATTTTGACAGCATATGTATGCCCAAATGTGTTCAGATTACCAATAGAGAATGCATGAACTTTAAAAATTCACTTATTTTTTTGCAAGAAAACTGCAAGAATCCAAGTCCAACTCAAAGGCAGAATATTGAGCCAGGTCCCATACAACTAACTAGAGATATAATACAACATAAGGCATGTTTGCATTATGTGAAATACAGATTCACCGTCTTGATGAAATCTGTGTGATATATTTCTCAAAAAAAGAAAAAGAAATCTGTGTGATATACGTCCCAGTTTGCCTTTAGTTTTGAGTGCAACTAACATATATACTATTCTTATTAATACAATGTTTACAAAAAAAATGATTTCACCATCCACCAACTTCATGGAGACAATCTTGTGGCAATTGATAATGTTTCTAATGATGTGTCTCACTCTAATAGAGTACTTGATGCTATGGTCAAGCTGCCCAATATCACTCCATTTGGGCACGATGTGGATTTGTTCCCACAGTTATTACCATAAACAGACACAAACAGTTGGTGGAAAAACTATTTCTCCTCTACTTGATGAACTAGTTTAAAGATTTGAGATGTGTAAATGTGTAAGGAGACATTCATAAATGGGAAAGCATAATATCACCGATGTGACCATGGTAACAGTACTGTCATCGAGATTATCACAATCCAATCAGTCGGATGAAGGGAGATAAGAACATAGAAGTGAATTAGTGGCCTTTTTGGTGGGACACACTCTCCCTCCATCACCATATCCCACTGATGGTACAGCAATGAGCCCAATGACTATAATGTTACCATGATCCTGTGGACAGTAACATACTTCCCTCTTTAATTGGCGTGTTAGACACAATTACCCATACCAATGCGCGTAACTTTGTGTTTTTGCATTTGAGGATGTTTTAGCGACTCTGGACTTGTATATAGCTTTGAACCATCTCAATTATGTTACTCAAATGTAGTTTTCCAAGATTTTTTGATGTAAACATTCAGTTGAATAGTATTAGGACAAAAAGGAGTTTTACTCGAATATTATATGATCAATGGATCATGACCTAACACATCTCTAAGGGAGTTCACTATATATTTGCTTCGATTGCAAAACATGCAACCCACAAAAAAATGACTCTATTTAAAACATATCAGTTGGAGAAATCACGATGGCGATCCTAACAAAAAGAGCCATCATAATTCCATTGTATAATGAGATTATCAGCATTTTTAGCTGATGATAAAACCGTAGGAAATTTTAGCGTTCAGGATCCAAGAAAGATTAATCCATTGGATGATATGTTGGAAGAGTTTCAACTCCATATCCTATTTGGAATCGTGATTTAACCCTTATTCTTCCCTCCAAACATGGGATATAAGGCACATATAGTGTCTATTCAGGTTCAGCTCGTTTAGCGTGGGGGGGCAGCGCAGTATGGGTGACTGGTTAGCATAACTTTGTCCCCCTTCCCTGCTCCCAGCAAGTCCTTATAGGACTTGTTTATGACACACACTAGCTTGCATGCACCTGTAACTCACCATTGGCCCAGGTCTACATATAGTGAACCTAAAGTGTCTAAGAGTGTACCATGAACAAGGGTATGTCAGGTTTTTCTCGGAACATAATAGCATCAGCACAATTGGATGCTCCATAACAATGTTAATAAATGGTTCAATTCATGAATTGGGGTTAAACCTATTTTTCTGAATAAGTGGGGAGCAAAGTGGGACTTACTAATGAATAGCTGGATACCGCCAAACTTTGCTATAAAGTATTGGGGAAATTAGTCAATTAAGAATGAGACTTACTCATCAATAATTGTTCAGTCTAAATCTTGTATTTATTCTTAGAGCTATATTGGTCCCGATAATGGACCTATAATGCCATTATTTTGCTCTTATATATGCTATTTTAAGTTTGCTTTTGCCAACCACAAGTTTGTAGGGTCTAACCTCACATGTATTCTGGTGCTAATTTGAAGGTCATCAAATAGTCAGATATGTCTTCCTTCCATATTCACCAAGAGCATGAGGAGCATTGGTATTTGATATGGGTTTGCCATCCAATGCCCATCATGACTCGTGGGATCATGGGTGACGTGACGGTTGCATGCCCTGGCTATAGAGCGCAGCTGCATCTCATTTTCAGCCCAGATAGGATGATCTCGTGTTAGGGAACCTGCTTCTAGCCCATGTTGAGGCTAGATGCTCGTTGTTTCATATCCGACCATATAGAAAAATGCACCCAAATCTCAATCCAACACAAAAAGACCCCAACAGGAGATATTCAGAGGTGAGCAATGAGAATACCAATCGTGCAATTCCAACATATCTAAACAAGCTTGATTTTCATGGTCTACTCTATACTTTCAGCATAAGGGACTAAGTTTCTAAATTCATCGTTTGTTGGTATAAAAGTCAAATAACCTGTACCAATAGTAAAACATATAAACAACATACCAACAGTGAGGAAGGAACGACTAGGAATCACATATGCTATGTACAGTGAAGTGAGTTTCATGCTTTAAAAGTCAACGAACCTGTACCAATAGTGAAATATGTAAACAACATACCAACAGTGAGGAAAGGAAGGACTAGGAATCACATATGCTATGCACACTGAAGTGAAGTTCTCATGAAATTCGCTGTGGCAATAAATTTTCCAATGACAATCACATCACACCCATTCCAAAACTAGATGCAGCTATGATTCCTTCTGAAAGTCCATCAACAACAATTGAATTCCCAATTTTTTAGCCCATAAAGATGCTATCATCAATTCATCCAGAAATTTGAAAAGAAAAAATTACAGTGATCTACCCAGCTTGCAGAGGATTGAAAAAACCAACAACATTTTTTTTTTCTAGTAAAAACCAATAGAATAGAAAACACGCAAACTAGCAAACCCATGAAAAGTACGAGAACAAGAAAATGGGGCGAAAAGAAAATTAAAAAACAAAAAAAAAAGTCGGTTGGACCAACAAGAAGCAGAAATACCTGGAAAAGTGAAACCAACTCATTGATCTGAAAAATGAATGAAGCATACAAAACTTCCACTGCGAAATCAACAGCAGGCCTACAACCATGGTGAGAACATTCCTCATCAGCACAAACACAAACTCCTTGAGGAAGCACCCCCACCTTTCCACTGTAAATATAACCAAGCACCACCATTAAAGCATCAGGCCCAACCTCAAAATCCTTAGCCAACTCACCAATCTCAAACCTCTCCTTCCCTGAATTCTCCGCAAAAGCTTTCTGAAGAAAGGGACTACGACAGGCAAGTACGCACCGATGAACTGGAATCTCTCGTTTCCCAGCAATAATTCGGGCATCGGCACAAAACCCTAGATCAGAAGAGTGGAAGAGAGAGTCGAGGCATTCACTGAGCTTAGTTAGGGCAACAAGGTCAGGAGTGGTTTGCTGCAGGTAATCAGAAAAGACGGTGGTCTCGCCATTGGAGATACAGGAGCCCCCTCCATCCTGTGAAGGGGATGAGTGAGAAGCCATGAGAGAGAAAACGTAGAGAGAGATTGGAGCCCTAAGTTGCAGAAAGATTCATGATGGTGATGGTGATGATGATGAGCATTATGACCAGGTGTGATTGATTCTTGATAGTTGATTTCAGTTCGGAACCATACACAGGATAAGACATTAATTAATGGATTGCGTTTTTGTAAGGCGTAGGCTTTATAAAAACAAAAGGAAGAAGCAGTTTATATAAAGCCGAGGCTCTAAACAATCAAACTAGAGCTTACCTAAAAAACTTCTGAGGTTGTTTTGACGCACAAGTATCCTCAAATTGATCCTCTTGATATCAAGATGCATGAACATGATAAATATATGGATTTCGAGTTTTGGAAATAGTGTATCTTGTAAGGCATTTTTTATCATCAATTTTCAAGTTTTTATAAATTTGCTTGATCTACACTATTTTTTAAGCTTTAAATTTTATAATAAAAGATAAAAGTATATTTTAAGGCTATTGAATAAAATTTTTTTTTGATAGAACTTCTACTACTTTATTAAACTAAAATGAGATTACATAGTCAAATACAAGAATATCAGAAAGGAGAGAGCCCCTTCTCACTAGGGAATCAGCCAGAACATTAGCTTCCCCATAAACATGAACAAAAGAGAAAAAGAAAGGCTGAGCAAGGTCAATAATTTGAAGTAATAAATATTTGAATTCCCACGACAACTTCTGCTCTCCCTTACACCATTTGATGACATTCAAAGACTCTCTTTCAAGGACACAATAATGACCCAAATTTCTTTCCATAAAAATACGTAAATAAAAAAAACAGCTAATAATTCAGCATAATTAGTAATATGCACCCCTAAAAGACAAGCATAGGAGAAAACAACGGTCCCCTGCTAATCTCTAAGCACAACCCCAAATCCTGTTGGACCCGGATTACCTAAAGAGCTGCCGTCAAAGTTCAGTTTTAAAACCCCCATAGACGGGGGCATCCACCTTCCTTTAGGTCTACATTTAAAAAAGCCCAATTGAAATAACGGTTTTAAATTTCTCCTAACATCTACTTCCAAAATATCTTGGCCAAATTTAGTAATTGAAAGCTATTGCCAAATGCCATGTAAAATCTTATCCCAAACGACCTCAAAAGGTAAAACATATCCCATCAAACACTCGTCTATTTATTTCTTTCCAAATTTCCCATAAAATAACTCCTCTAGAGATTTGCTAAATGATAGCTCTTAATCTAAGCAAATTAAAAGATAAATTCAGCAATATACCTCTAACACTAGAAGGAATCACCTTTGCAAATCCAAACCGAGTAAAGAATCTCCTCCATATGCGATAGGTAAAAGAACAATGCATAAAAAGACGATCACCTGATTCCCTATCATTATTACACATCAGACAAATATTAGGCAGGATTTTCCCCCTCTTAATAAGGCTATCAATTGTGAACACCTTATTTTGAACAATCAATCATAAAAATCCTTGCACTTTCAGGGGTAATGGCCCTCCAAATGATAGCTAATTCAGGTCTTGACCAGCGCTACCTATCATGAAATAGAAGCTGGTACATCCACTTTACCGAGAAAACACCATCCTTATCAATCTCCCACACAATCTCATCTGAAGCATTTTGAGGGATATAAACCTCATCCAGCAGTTTGAGCAAATCAATAAATCGGGAGTTCGAGATCCTATTATAAGGAAGCTTAATATTCCAAAGAATGTGATCACCCCTACACTCATAAAAATCAGCAACTATACCATTTGAATTAGCCACTCTTTGAAAGAAATTAGGAAAAATAAGTTTCAAAGGAGCATCCCCAACCCATTTATAGTGCCAGAAAGAAATATTGTTACCATTGCCAATAGACCACCAAATGTCTCTTTGAATAAAAGCTTTTACAATTATGAATTGATTTTCACTAATGAGACAAGCCCTTAGTCCCCATTTTATTATTCACCCACATTTCAAACCTATCCACACCATACTTAAAAACAATTACCTGATACCAAAGATGATCTTTGCAAGTTAAACTCCTCTACCACCATTTACAAAGCAATGCTTGGTTGATTGTGATAATTTTCCTAATCCCAAGACCACTCTCTTCTCTAGATGTACACACCCTATCCCAAAGAAAAAGATGGAATCTCCTTCTCTCCACCGAGGATCCCCATAGAAAGTTTCTCATCATCATTTCAATCCTCCTTGCAATCGAGGAAGGAATTTGTAGGATTTACATTTGATAAATAGGTAAATTAGACAAACAAGCCTTTATCAATGTAATTCTACCTCTAAAAGAAAAATACTTAAACTTCCAAAGGTCTAATTTAACTTGAATACGTTACAGAATTTTATCCCAAACAACAATACGAAGACGATCATCCGAAATAGGCATACCCAGATAAATAATTGGGAACTTGTCAACCTTCTGGTGGTTTCTTTGGCACTATACAAACTGCACCCAAAACAAAATAAAGCCTCATCTCAAATCCTCCTCATAAATGAAACTTAAATCTCCATGATGGCTCAAAAATCAACTTTCGCCACCCACAATGAATTTCAAAGCTCAAAAAAATGGTATAGATCTTGCAGATCTATAAACACTTATTTTTAGAGCGCGATAGACGATCTAGATAATTTGTTACAATATACACTTTTTTAGAGCTTGAAATCCCTCCCCCCTTGTTTTTTTTTCACAACTATAATGTTGAAGCTAAAATGATCGATGTAAAATTTTTCTAAGGGTGCAGTTAGCATATGGATGCATCCGTAGGTATAGAGGTATATAATTTTATCATGGTATATAATTTTGATGTAAAATGTTATTAGGATTATCTCAAAATATTTTTTTATATCTAATTATAAAATTTTAAACTTAAAAAATGGTTAAAACCAAGTAGATCTATAAACCTATGAAAACCTTGAAAATGGATGGTGTAGATAATATGTTGTAAAATACACTATTTCTTATACTTAAAATCTTTTTATTTTTTATGGTCATACATCTTGATGTTGAGATGATCAATCGAAGGGTTTTTCAACATTAAAAATACGTTTTCCAGTGGATTTTTGATGTTCATTCGTAGTTCTACATATAAGGTTGCAACCGTATATAAACTTTTAGTTCTACATATAAAGTTGCAACCTTATATAAACATTTTCTTTTTTCTAATGCTTAAATTTTCGATGAGTTATGAAGTGAGGTTTTACTTATTTTGATAGGACTGCAACCTTATACAACCATTTTCTTTAATTATTCATGCATTAGAGTAAGTGGAGACATCATCCGGCATACATGGCGGGTGTTGCGACAAGGCAAAGCACCAAGTCAAAGGAGGGGCGGTGCACGAATCCGGTTTTTTTTGTTACACTGGAAATGACTGAAACTACTCTGAACTTTATTCAAAATGACCAATTCCTTTTGCCCTTTGGTTTTCATGTTGTCGTCATGGGATTACACTGTTGCTTATCATCCCCTGATTATCTAAAGAATGTAGAAGAGCATGTATACCATTTTATCTTGGGAGCATAGTTTACTTCTACTCCCTCGTTACATAACTTACTTGGGAGATATTTTTCAAGGGTACGGTTTGTATAGAGCTGAGGCTTTAAACAATCAAAGTGGAACCCCACCTTCATATGGTGTGGAGAAATATGGTTTCAATACTAAAAATCTTTGTAATAGCTTTAAAATATATTTTTATCTTTAATTATAAAATTTAAAACTTCAAAAATAGTACAGATCGAGCAAATCTATGAAAACTTGAAAAAATTAAAAATTAAAGGTCAAAAAGTACATTATAAGATGTACTCTTTCTAAAACTTGAAATCCATTTTTTTCTCATGTTGATGCATCTTGATGTCGAGATGATATGATGATATTTGGGCATCAAAACAACTTCTTTTAGTGAAATTTTTGAGATGGGCTCTAATTTGATTGTTTAGAGCCTCGGCTCTATATAAACTTTTTCCTTTTTTCAATATGAAATTTTGGTAACCAATGATTATTTTCAAAAAGCAAAATTTGAAATATGGGTTTTCTAACATTTAGATCTCATCCTGTAAAAAGCGGATGGTTTTTATTCAATTTTGAGATATTATTTTTTTCAAGTTTATAGAGAGTTAACAATTAGGAATTTTTTAATTGAAATTAATATATGTATTAAAGAGGTTATATCCCCAAAATTTAGTGTCTCAAGACTTATCCTAGTGGGATTTTACCTGAGAAAGTGAATAGACAGTATACTCCGGAGGGAGTAGACTATCTTTTGGCACGTATAATTTAAGTCCACATGGTCATATAAACAACTAACAACTATGACCAAGCACTTGATCACCGTCCAAAAAATAGTTCAAATGTGTATGGAGACTGGAGAGAATGCATAGTCTACTGTCCATTAGTCTGGTGGGACCCACTCATCTTGATCGGACGGTGGTAAGTTATAGATCATAACACTTTGCAGATGCCCTTTCATGGGATGAAATAATTGTCACAAGGCATTTTTTTTAAATACTAACTTGCATTTTCCCATGAACGCGTCTACAATGTACAATGATTTCCTTGGGCTTTACATCGCCTATAGAATTTCTCTTTTTTTTTCCCTTTTGGGTGTGGTTTCAATGAACTTGCATCCTTAAACTAAGCGGTATTTAAAAAACGCATCAGTGACTCGAATCAATTATACCCATATCCATTTCGGATCGGAGAAATCGGTAATTTTCGTTTCAAATTTTTTAAAACAATAATTCAAGAAAACATTGTTCTTTTTTTCTTGACTCGATAAAGAATCGGTGAAGAATCGATCGGACTAGGTGGAGAATCGTTGGAGTTGATGATTCTGTGAAAAAATTGACGAGTCTACCATTCTGAATCGACCAAATCCCAAATTTTTATTGGATCCGGGACAGTCATGATGATTTTTTATCCGGATCGCTAGATTCCAAATTAGGTCATTTTTTAATCACGGCCTTAAGCAATACCTCTAAAGTTTGTCATGACAAGGAATTTTTGGTGCTGAAATTGCGAATTGGTCAAATTTAAGTTTGTCTTAAAGCATAAAACAAAATGGAGTGGCTCATTCCCTTCCTTTTATAATGAAAAATGAGAATGAGTAATTCAAATGTCCCACGTCATCGTTGTTCACCACATGACCCGATCAATAGAGCAAGATGCCAACATCCTATTAAA